GGCTGATTAGATTCAGCCCCTAGTTTGCTGATATAGGCTTAGTTTGTCGGGGGACATCTTACTTCTTCCCTCTCTCTGTCTATACCTGTGTACTCTCATGTTCCGATTAACCCAGCTTCCCCACATTTTTTTCTTTTTGGTGTCTATATACGCCGGGATCCGGAGTCATGGATGATCCTGCGGTCCTGTGTCATGGATTGCGAGTCCTGGATCTTGAGCCGTGGCTGTGGTCCTGGATCATAAGTCCTGGATGGATATACTCGTGGATTCATCTTCCTATTATACACACATGCATTTCCAAACATTTGGACTACCTATGTTGCAAATGTATTATCTTTTCAATTTACACACGGCATCTATTGCACGTCTGTCCGTCCTGGGAGAGGGATCCCTCCTCTGTTGCTCTCCCTGAGGTTTCTCCCATTTTTCCCTTTAAACTGTGGGTTTTCTCTGGAAGTTTTTCCTTGTACGATGTGAGGGTCTAAGGACAGAGGGTGTCGTATTGTCATACTGATATTCTGTACAAACTGTGAAGTCCACTGAGACAAATGTAACATTTGTGATATTGGGCTATATAAATAAACATTGATTGATTGATTGAACACAATATAGATGAGGTCAAGCTATCACAACATATGCTATTTAATCGACTTTTTTTTAGGAATGCTTGTTATATAGCTTTAACTGAAATCTCATAACTGAATTATATTATGATGCCTTTCAGTTTTGAGAATGCTATCTCAAATGGTTAACATGGTCAAAAGTATACCTGCTTTATTAGCATGATAGAATAGTCATTGTGAGCATGTTAGCATTTAGCTTTTAAGTGCGTAGCATCACATATCTTCTTAGCAACTAACATAGCTGTGTACACTCTTAAGTGACTTCATTTTTCACTCATTCACTACTCTTTCAAAAAACTGTATAACTGTTCTGTTGAAGTGAGCAGTAAATTAGATTTATGAACTATATGATTCATAGTACATTTGTGTATCGACTGGCTTGGAGTCACACAAATGTATTTTTTGAAACAAAATGTGTTGCATTGTTGAATTATCAACTAAAGTTACTGTTAAACACTATTTTTTTTATTTAGTTGGGGGATTTTTTTCAAGTGCATTACATAGTGCATATTCACCCTAAACAGAGGAGAAATATAATATATGCAGACATTCCTTACCTTGAACATCTCCTTAATGTTGCTGAGCATGAACACCACCATCAGGTCCTCTTTGTCCTTAGATAGAACCCTGCTGTGGAGCATCGCCCTGAAGAAAGACCTCTTCACCGCCTGTCTGTTCTCCATCTTGACAATCAACCACACATCTTTAATGTAAAATAAAGCTAGGTATGCACTGGCAATTGACAATTAGTGAGACATGTTGAATTTTGTTTTGAAAGTCTTAAAAATGATATCAGTACGGTCCATCATAAAGCAAAAAATCGTCTGTGCAACACGTGTGCTAAAAACATCCCAAAATAAAAAAGGTATGGACTCACAGGAGGCCATAAGGACCTGGACTTGTCTATCGTGCCATTAGAATGGGAGATAAGCTAGCTTTGTTTAACTGAATAGATCATAGGGGAATTGGAAAACAATAACTAATTGGGATAATTTCGACTGAAACTATGGTCACGATATGGGAGGGATATACAGTTTAATTCTTACAGTACAATTTCCATAATTTTTCTCATCAATAATAAATAATTAAAATGATCATGTTTCCTTTTAGAGGAACTGTATCAAACAAATGTGTTTTTTTAAGTCTGTAAAACACGTTTTTTGTCGGCCGAGACATATCTGCAGCTCCGCAGTACTTGATTCAAATTGTTAACAGATATTTAGCATTTAATGAACATTGTGGTGCGGTTTGAATAATGCACTAGTACAGCATTTCTCAAACTGTGGTCCGCGGACCGAGAGTACTGCAGGTGGTCCGTGGAAAAAAGCTAAATAAAATCCACTTTTTATTATCAAGGATTTTCGGGGACCACCTCATATGTGACTTGCTCTATCGAAATCAGTCGCATTGACCCCTGAAGACATATTTTGAGTTGTATACACTGTTGAAAAGAGGAGATTCCTAGATTTCTAATTATATCAGGATTGTTTTTGTACTCCAAATATCAAGCAAAATATGCAGAGTCGCCGTAAGGGGGTGAAAAGTTAGGAAGATTCTAAGGGCCCAAACAATTTTAGAACATTAAAGGCCTTTACACACGGCGGCGTGAAACTCGATCCAAAAACCAATCACATGAATCTCCCGCCCCAGACACACAAGCACGCGGATTGATTGGCTGGAGCTTGTACTGGCATATGATTTGATTGGCTGACGCTTCAACCGAAAGCTTCAGAAGATTAAAAAGTTGAACATTNCACGGCGGCGTGAAACTCGATCCAAAAACCAATCACATGAATCTCCCGCCCCAGACACACAAGCACGCGGATTGATTGGCTGGAGCTTGTACTGGCATATGATTTGATTGGCTGACGCCTCCGTCGAGGCGGCAAAAGTAGAACATTGCTCTACTTTTGCAGCGAGCACCGCGAGAGAAGCTACGCTTTGCTCCCACAATGCAGTTCGGCGAATCGTGACGTCACCCCATTCAAAGTGAATGGGCAGAAGCGTTGAAGCGACAACGCACGCCGCCGTGTGTAGGGGCCGTAAGAAAAAGATGTTTAAGTAACCTTTCATCAATCATCAATAATTAACATTAATAGAACGTTATATTGATAATGTATTCACTAAACGTATGATTCACTTAAGTTATTTTCTTCCAAAAGTTAATTATCCAAAGCCTCTGTACACCCCCTTCTATTTACATGTAATGGTTTGGTCCTGCCTCCAAACGCTGTGCTGCGCCGACACTTTCTAGCAAAGAGTGAGAGCATGTGAGGAGGGATGCTAGTACTTACGTGTGTACGATGTCTCAACGACTCACAAAGTCAGGCTTTCAAAAGAGAAAGGAGAGAAAGACAAGAGAGAGCGACTAAAGGGCGACAGTATGCCACCCAGTTTTTCAAAAGAAAAGGTGGGTGTGGTCCATGAGCATACTTGCCAACCTTGAGACCTCAGAAATTGGGAGCATTTCAAAACCACCGCGCATGGGGCCCAAAATCCCTGTCGGCGCCCCTGCCTATGATTACTATAGCCTTACATTCACAATGTCAGCGGGAGGGAGGGGGAGCGGCGCTGCGGAAGAGCAGAGTGCGAGTGAGAGGTGCCTGTCATCTTCCCTTTACAGTAAAGGGAAGATGACAGGCACCTCTCACTCGCACTCTGCTCTTCCGCAGCGCCGCTCCCCCTCCCTCCCGCTGACATTGTGAATGTAAGGCTATAGTANCTGAATTATTCACAGACAGTGTCACCAGCAAAGCCCCCCCACACCATCTCACTTCCTCCTCCATACTTCACGGTGGGAACCACACATGCAGAAACCATCTTCCACCTTCTCTTCTCTGCGTCTCACAAAGTCACGGAGGTTGGAACCAACAATCTCAGATGTTGACTCATCAGACCAAAGTACAGATTTCCACTGTCTAATGTCCATTCCTTGTGTTTCTTGGCCCAAACAATTATCTTCTTCGTGTTGTTCATCCTCAGTAGTGGATATTTGCAGCAATTGGACCATGAAGGCCTGATTCACGCACACTCCTCTGAACAGTGGATGCTGAGGATGTCTGCTACTTGAGCTCTGTGATGATTTATGTTGGCTCTAATCTGAGGTACTTTAATTTGCGGTTTCTGAGGCTAGTAACTCTGATGTATTTATCCTCTGCAGCAGAGGTAACTCTTGCTCTTCCTTTCCTCATGAGAGCCAGTTTCATCATAGCGTTCGATGGTTTTTGCGACTGCACTTGAGGATACATTCAAAGTTCTTGACATTTTCCGCATCGACTGCCCTTCATTTCTTAAAGTGATGATGGACGGTCGTTTCTCTTCTCTGAGTTGAGTAGTTCTTGCCATAATATGGATTACAACAGTAGTCAAATAGGGCTTTGCGCTGTGCACTAACCCTACCTCTGCACAACACAACTGATGGTCTCAAACACATTAAGAACTCAAGAAGGCAAGTCATTCCACAAATGGACTCTTGACAAGGCACACGTGTTAATAGAAAACCATTCCAGGTGACGACCTCATGAAGCTGACTGAGAGAAGCCAAGAGTTGTGAATAAACCAGATTTCAAGGCACACTTAACCAGCATGGTATTGGCTACCACAGCTTTCTGCAGTAGCCAGCAACATATAAATCATATTCTGGATTTTTTAACACTTTTTTGTTTACTAGATAATTCCACATGTGTTCTTTTATAGTTTTGATGTCTTCAGTATACATTTACAATGTAGAACATTTTAAAATAAATAAAACACTTTTTGTCCAAACCTTTGACTGGTAGTGTATGTCAAAGACACATTTTAAATATTGGACCCCCTTTGTCCCCACCAATTGCACACATCTGTAAAAATCCACTGCTTTCACTGTCTCTGTACCTTCTTCCTAGCTCCTGGTTTGGCCAGTAAACCGGTCCAGTCGTCCTCCATGTGGAGCAGCATCCTTTCCCACCTCAGGTCCTCTGTGACAGTGACGCGTCGGCGAGTCCACCTCAAGTCTCACAGCGACTGCTTCCTGGGCTCAGAGGCTGTGGATGTGCTGACAGAACACATCAACTGTGGGAAAGCCTTTGAGGGTGTGTGTTTGTGGATTTTAAATGTGTCTATTCCATTCTACATTAAATCATTGGGGGAATTTTCTTTTGAGGGTTTTAATTTGACTTGAGACAATTTTCTATTTATTGATAGACTAAAACCATGCATTTCCCCTTTCTGCTTGGTTAATTTCAGGTGCTGATGTTGCACGGGACAAAGTGGTGTGTGTGTGCCAGGCTCTGTTGGACTGTAATGTGTTTGAGGCAGTGGGTACCAAAGTGTTTGGCAAAGACAAGAAGCAGGATGTGTTTCAGGACAGCAAGAGTGCGCTTTACAGGTAATAAACAAGCAAACACACAAAACGTATTTTTCTGGCAGTCACAATGTTTGTATTCAGGTTTTTGTGAATGTTGACATGCTGCCTTTCTACACACAGGTTTGTAGGTATGTGTTCTCCTTCGGTGGATGAGTTGGAAAAAGGAGTGCTTGTGAAGGGGATCCAAAGACTGTTCTGCAGTGCTCCTACAGACAGGTACTACATCATTTTATTTCCATAGCAAACATTACATACACAGTTACCTGTTTACTAGTGACATAACAACATTTAAAAAACCTCAGATAATGCAGTCCGTTACCACGTCAGAAATATCTACAGCCTCCAAAATGGTTAACAAGTTGAATTCTAACCTGTCTAGCCTGTCTATTAAATAATTAAAAGCAGTTGTGAATTAATCCTGATTTAGGCATTAGAAAATTCACCGAAATACATAAATGTGGAATTTTGAGATAAGTCTTCAAAATAAATAATTATGGATTTATGAAATGCAAGTCCCCTGAAATAAATACATTTCGAATTATAAAATAAAACTCCCCTGTTCGAAATAAGTGAATGTGGATTTATGAAATTCAAGCCTTGGAAGTAATCTGGACTTAGGTCCCCTAAAGATTTTTGCGGGAAAATATATATATTTTTTCAAATGTATTTAAAAGTTCCTTGAAATAAATGAATCTGGAATTATGAAAAAAGCACCCTGAAAATAAAATGTGGGTACATGAAATAATAGTCAACTATTTATTTGGTTAGTGTTTGTTATTTGATCAATATTATCTCGTTAACATATTACTTGAGGATTCATTTCATTTGCATATTTATTTATTTAATATTATAAAATGAAATGGCTCTGTTTTGCATTCCAGGCAGGAGGAGCAGACATGTCCCTCTGGTCCGCATGTTCCGTTTTCAACACCTGTCAAATGCACCCAGACGTTCCTGCAGGCAGAGCAGCACCTCTCTCCTGCTGCTGGCAGCCTGTCTCTGGGCCCTCAGATGGACAGCCTGACTCCCTGCAGACTGCCCGACGACACCGCTCTACCACAGTCAGGTGAGACATTCATTTCAGCATTTGAATATTTCATCCTGCTCATTTAACATAACAATCACTAGTATAGACAATATTTGAATGTCCATATGTTCTGTAATTAAGTTCCATATTTAATGGAGACTGGTGCAAAAAGGAGTCATTAAACTCTAAAAGGTATATTTTAATTGTCTTTTTTTGTGTCTCTTCTTCTCCCCAGTGGTGGACGAGATCTGGCAGGAGCAGACTCTGCTCAGGCTGTTAAACCTGGTGGAGCTCCCCCTGCTAGAGGGGGTGCTACAGTGGTGCCAGACCCCCGCCCCCCCCTCTCCATCCAACCTGCTGCCTCGCAGTAACCCCAACCTGATCTACAGCAGCAACCACCTGGCCCGGCAGATCCTCAGGGCCTTCAGGGACTCCCAGTACGCTCCAAATATCTTGCTGCTTAAAACCTTTTAGCTCTAAATAGTGCGCAATTCTACGGCAGCTTGTGACAGATGTGTTTGCATATTGAAATTATCCATTCCTCTGTAACGGCCTCCTCAAGTGGTTTCTATGTAGGCACATGTTATTGTTATCAGATGTATTAGATTAACATTAAGACTCCATTCCATTTGTATTTTAAAGATTCAGAACGATACGAGATGGGGTCAATCTTGTGAATTCTAATTTCCTTTAAATATAGTGTATAAAACCATAAAGGGGCGTAGTAGTTTAACTGACCACATATACCCAAGTATAGTAAGATTTTAGTTAGTACTATTATACTTACTGAACGGTTTAACATTTGCTACTTAAAATGTATTTTCGATAAAAAATACATTTTGTGCTTTTACATGCGCAAGATTTTAAATGTAGGGTCTTATTTGTAAAAAATTAGGGCTGCACGAATTGACTTATTGCAATTATTTTTGACCGATGAGACAATTGCCACATGATTCGCATTAGAGGCAACGATCATTTGTGAAACATTGTTCGCATTACCATTGAAACGTATATAGAATATCGTTCTTTAGCACCACAATACTTCATTAAGAATGATTTTTTTTACATATTTAGCCTTTCCCAAATATTGCGCTTACATTAATTGAGTTCTAAATATCGGCTGATTGTGCTCCTTCTGACCTCAGGGAGGACGAGTGGCTCGGTGCAGCTCTGGACTGTCTGGACTTCCTCCCTGATCAGCCGGTGGTGGAGCTGAGCCGGGAGCTGCCTCTCTGCGAGCCTCAACATCAGGACAGCAGTGAACACGGTGGAGGCAAGGGCTTGGATGAGAATCAGTAAAGAGTGGTGCAGGAATTAGTCTTAAACCTGAAATCAGTTTGCATTTTACCACTTCCGATTCACGCCTTAAATAAGGTCCATGGTTAACACAAGCTGAAAATACGTTTATGTTTGGTTCTATGACATAAAATATGTCAGTAAATACTGATCTTCTGCAATATTCCAAAATCCAATGCAGAAATTCCATTGTTTGTCATCACTGCACCACTCTATACTACAATAGCAAAGCAAGTATCTGGTTTCTCAAATATATCATGTACTATGTGTTGGAGCGCCAGGAAAATGCATTTCTGGAGGGAACTTTGGGATTTCAGCCTTTGCAGACCATTTACATGCGCAAAAATCTGTCACCCAAAAACCACAACAGGGCCTCTTAGATAAGTTTTTCTCATGTTTTAATACTGTGCTTCAGGTTTGTGTTGAAAGCACGTCACTGCTTCTGTTAACAATATACATGTCAATGTGTGTATTCTGTCTCCAGTGCATTGTCTGAGTTTCTGTGTTTCCTCCCCAGGCTGCAGCAGTGATGAGCAGTCTCGCCTCTCCCTGAGCGGTGTGGATCAGTGTAAGCTGCTGCTGTACGGGACCCTGGTGAAACACTACAGCCACACAGACAGACCCCCCCTGATGCCCCCACACATGACTGACATCTACACAGCCATCACCGACCTGCTGGGTAAGAACTGACTCAGAATCCCAGAAAAAGGCGTAATGCTAACCCTTACCCAACTTATCTTTAAGGGGACCCATCATGCAAAATGCACTTTTAGATGTATTTTATACATAAATATGTGTCCCCGCTGTGTCAGGGAACTCACAAAGTGTCAGAAAACAGAACCCTCTCTCTTTTCGTCCGTACCCAATTCTCTAAAAACGGAGGTACAACGGAGCGGATCCAGATTTGCTGCCGATATGACGTAATATCGGAAATGTGGGCTGGCTTTACACCCACAGCCCTATCAGAGAATTGCTATCAGAAACAATGCCCGACTGTTTTGGATGTAATATGGTCTTTGTTTACATTAGCAATCATTGCTAACACTCAGAGCTAACCTGTACTGGAGAGAGCGTGTGTAAAAAAGCATGAAATAAAAAAAGGAAATCACCTTGTATTAAACCCGCAAGAGAAAAAGCATTTGAGCTCCATACTGTTTCAGAAATAATCCTTGATGTGGTTTGGAACATGATATGGTGTTTAATCACGACAGAATTTAACTGCATCTGCCGGTAGAATTCTGAGCAGACATTAGGTCCCCCTACAAAATCAGCGTTTCTCTAACAGGGCTGAAACAGAGGAATATGAGGGATGTCTAAAATGCATGATCTGTTTGGTATTTTGAGCAAAACACATCATAGACATGTTTTTATATATCTGAGACTCATAATATATGCCTAAAGATAGCATGATAGGAGACCTTTAAATGTTAATAATCTTACATCTCTTACATGTTGTGTCTCTTGCCTCCCAGTGAATGCTAAACTGAACATGGCCCTGGAGGCTCTGCAGCTGTGTCTGAAGCTGCTGCCCCCCGGCTGCAGAGACCAGCTGCGCAAGGTGCTCACATTTATGGCACTGGCAGCTGACCCACAGGGGATAAAACTGGACAAGGAGGTGAGAAGAAGGCACTGAATGTTATGTTGGATAATGAATTTTTAAAATGTGCATTCATATTTTTCTCCAAATAGAAAATCATCGTGTCACATATTTTGGTTGTTGGTTGAAGTAGAGCAACAAACAATTTCCCTAATCGTTAACAATATTAGGGCTGAACAATTGACCATAATGTTATAAATATCTACTAGTGCAGGGGTTCTCAAACTTTTTGTTTATCGGACCACTATTTATTATCAAGGATTTTCGCGGACCACCTCAAATGCAACTGTAAAAATAAGTAAATATATAAACGTAGTGTTAAAACGCCGATATTTTTTTTATAGTTAATTATAGACAATCAAAAGTAAATTGAAGCCTATCTGATGCTTTTGTTTCCGGTGTCTGTCTGCGTTGTGTATGTTTCTCAAAGAGGACGGCGGACGGTATTTTAATTAGGTCATCCCAAACAATGCCACAAGTGCGCACGCGCGCAGTGCACTCACAAAACAGGCAGACAGGTCTACAAAAAACTACCGCTATACTTAGTCCTACTTTAGTTACTGTTCTGCAAAAAGCAGACGCTGTTGCGCTCAACACACACAGACAGAAAACCATGGACACACTGGCACATAAGTAACATAAACAATGTATAGGCCTAGTTGCATAAAGGCTTGAGCTACAGTATTGCAACCAAGCAGACAGCGCTGCTTCTCTCTCTCTCTCCACTATCTCCACTTTCAAAATCTATTTAAATCTAAAAAATCCCCAAAGTTGT